AAACCCAGTAGATTCAGGGGAACGACCTGTACGAGGCGGTTGATGTTAATGCCTTCACCAGTATCTGATTTTTGTGGCATGTGTGAGCAAGCATAAATTAACTTTTTTTTTTGTACAGTTTTATCTTCGAGCATAATTCGGATCATCAGTGGACGTAAAAATGATTAGCCGCCAAATTATCTGCATAGAAAAAAGCTTTGCTTGAAAAACACAGTGCGGAGCATAGAAAGTTTTAATGATTTGACGACGCGCACCAGGTGGATTGAAGCGGTCATGCGTTTTTGCACTATTTCGTGTTGTAGTAAGATCGCTTGGATTCCCGGTAGCTGGAATTTGTGACATTCTGGCCCACGGAGTTCAGGGAGTTATTTGTTTAGCTGTCTGGTGTGTAATTTACCGATGTCGGCCTCAGTGACCCGACAAACAGAAAATTCCTGGTGCGACTACACGAGGAGCACCAATCACTTGTAAGTACAGCTTTTGCTGCAGTGAAGGCAATAGTATAAATGTACGTAATCACGGGAAGCATAGTCGATATGCACAGAAACCTTAAATGAAATTTGTCCTGCTAGATGAAGCCAGTCCAGCGTACCTGCAAACAATTGGCACGAATGAGGAATAGTTTTACACACTCCGGGCCACAGTGGGATAATTAACCACCAGGTAAAAACTCATCAGCCCAGTAGATTTTCAGGAAGAAAAGATTGCCCATTGAAAGCAAACACTAGACATGAACGGCAGATGCCAGTTTTACACATAGGAGCTTGCATATGAACATCGGATATCTTCGTAAAAGTACAGCAGTCCATGTAGTCCAAATCGCAATTCAAATGGATGCCAGCAGTGCTCCACTGAAAGTGCCACCTATTCATATGCGAGATGTGCATTTGTTTCTGTTAAGCATCTTCATATCCGAAGGGAATTTCAGTATCCCAGCTTAGCTAGTTGTCAGAATTGCTCTCCCCCAAAAATGGTTTGACATCCGTACGCGTGATGCAGGCGTACGCGACTGCTCATTTCACGACTGTTTGCTCGCATATAGCAAATATTTTCGTAGAATTGAAACTTGTTCAGTCTACGCGTTTGTTCGAGCTGAA